TCCATAGATTTAGCTGCAAATAGGAAGCACATCCAGAACTACAGGAACTAGTATCTCATTATTATAATGGTACATTGTTTAGTTCCCTTTTTTATTAATTTCATTGAATCAGTTTAAATACACATATAAAATGATCACACTCTGGAGGAAGGTTGTGTCTGTATGTGACATTTCTTGTTTCTTCTTTCATTCCCAATCCCCTCTTCTCCCTTCACCCCTCATCCCTTCCTTATTTACAAAAGCTTTGTTTCCACTTTCTTTCTTTTATTCTTTTTTCTTTCCCCTTCCTTGCTTTCCACCTCCCCCATCCCTTGATCCCCTTCCCATTTGAATATTTTCTTCCTATTTTCTAATATCTGTTATACATTGTGGTCTTATTTACCCTTTCAGCTTCTCTCACTAGAAAAACAATGTGATATTTAAACATGTGTCTGATTTTTTTCTTTTCCCTACCTTCCTTTCACCCTTACCCTTCCCTAGTTCCCTTTATTTTAAACAAGTTCTTCCTATTTCATAATAGCTTCCATGCATTTTACAAATTTGATATCTCATACCAGAGATCCTTGTTTACAAATCTGATATCTCATACCAGAGAAACAATCTAACATTTACACATATGTGTCCAATTTATTTCACTTAAGAGTATGGTCTCAAGGTTCACTCATTTATCTAGAAATGTCTGAAATTTATCCTTCTTTATGGCTGAGTAATACTCCATTGTATAAAAAAATCACATCTTTTTTATCCATTTCTCAGTTAATGGGTACTCAGGTTATTTCCAAGTTTTCCTGTTGCAAACTATACTGCTATGAACATGGGTGTGCATATATTGCTGTGGTATAATGTTTTTAATTGTTTTGGGAAGATACCCTGCAGGGAAATCACTGGCTCAAATGAGACCTCTAATCCTAGATTTTTGAGGAATCTCCACACTGATTTCCACAGTGGTTTCTCCAGCCTACACTCCACCAACAGTGTGGTTCTTAATCACCACAGACCCTCCAAAATTTATTATTTATTGATTTCTTCATAACAGCCAGTCTTTCTGTGGTGAGATTGAATCTCAGCATTATCTTAATTTGCATCTCTTGAATGACCAGTGATGTTGAACATTTTTTCATATATTTATTTACTGTTTGTATTTCTTTCTCTGAGAGGTGAGTGTTCATCTCAGATGCCCATTTAGGATTGGATCTTTAAATATGGGAGTCTGATTTTTTCAATTCTTTATATGTTCTGGATATTAGTCCTTTGAAGAAAAACTGGCTAATTCTTTGATTCACTGATTCTTTGTATTGTTTTCTTAATCTGGATTGAACTAATTTCTGTTCTTATCTTTATAATTTTCTCTCTTGTACAAATCTTGGGTTTGATTTGTTCTTCTTTACCTAGAACTTTGAGGTTCAACATTAGTTATTTATTTGAGCTCATTCTGTTTTCCTGATGTGAGAGTTCACTGGTATTAAATACTTCACTCCAAACTCTCCTTGACTTGAGAGTTTGTGTTGAGATGTCTGCTGTAAATCTAATGGGTTTTCCTTTACAGGGGATTTAGTTTTGTCTCTAGCCCCTTTTATTATTCTATGCTTTTGCTGAATTTCTGGAATCAGAAATTATTATTATATGTTTTGTGTAGATTTATTTGGGTCATAGCTACTTAGAGTTCTATATGGCTCACCTATTGTATATCAAATCCTTCATCCATGTTTGGGAAGATTTCTGCCATTAGTTCTGTGAAGAGGTTTTTTTATGGTGCTTGCGTTTTCTCCAGTTTTCTCATTAACTCCAATTAGTCTTGTGTTGTTCTTTTTTGCTTCATGTTGCAGATGTTGGATTCATTTTTCGTGGACCCTTGCTAATTTTAAGATATCTTTTTTTTTATGGTTGCTACCTACAATACTGTCTTCTAGATCTGATATTCTATCTTTGTCTGCAATCTGTTGTATATACATTTAATGAAATTTTTAATCTCCTAAATATCTATTTGCATCTGTGTCATTGCTCCTATTTCTTTCCTGTTCATGTGCAATCAGTTTGAGCATTCATGGTTAACATCATTTTCCTAAGCTTCTCTATATTTTTTATCTACTCTGGATTTATTGGGTGTGCCTTTCATTTTGACTGTCATTTCTTTTTTTACTTGTGAAATTATTTTTTTTATTGCCACATCCTCTTGTTTTTTACTGCTTCTGCTATTATTTCAGAAATACAGTGTGTAGCTTCCAATTTCTTCTATCTCGTTGTGCTCTGGACTTGTCCTGTGTGGGCTGTAGGACTGGGGTTGCATTTTGTTTCTGTGTCTGGCCATTTTCTGTGTTTTATTTTCTGTGTTTGTACTTATAGATATCTTAATGTAGATAGCTTCATCACTAGTATTGAGGCTTCCCTAAAAATGTCTACTCCTCAGAGCTGTCTTCCAGGTGTAGGTGGCTCTTGGTCTTTGTGTCTATCCCAAGAACCTACCTTTCCAATTTATTAAGGGTGAGAAGTTGGTATTTATTTGGCTCAGCACCCTGTCCTTTGGTACTGGTTTTTGGTGAGAGGTATTACCCCAGGCAATCACAAAGTTGTCATATGAGGGAGAAAAACCAATTAAAATGTGTATAACATCCTGGCTAAAGTAGCACAATTAACAATAACAATATCAGGAAGTACACCCTAGTAATATACAAACTGTGGTAACTATTAATTTGGCACCTTTAACTATAGGAGCAAGCTCTACAGTTATATAACAAAATCCAGCCTACACTAGGAGCTTTCATGCAATGAGTTTCCCTTTGGCAAATTGATTTTACACTGTTTGGGTGGGATTTAAGAGTGATTTGGGGGGCTGGGGATTTAGCTCAGTGGCAAAGCACCTGCCTGACAAGCGCAAGGTCATGAGTTCGGTTCCCGGTACCAGAGAAAAACCAAAAAAAAAAAAAAAAAGAGTGATTTGGGACAGAACAGAGATGAATGAGGAGAAATATGTTAGGAACGAGACTGCAAGACTAAGAACGATCATCCAAGTTTTGGGAGGCTGGAGAATAGTGTAGAAGAGAAAGAATGAAAGCAAAACCAAAAGAATATTGAAGCAAACCAGAAAAGGAGAGATGTTCATTTGTCTGTTTTTTGGTTCCCTCAACATTCTTTTAAACACAACAGAAGATACTGCCTGAGTTTACTTGCTTTTATAGCACTATTTGCATCTTGATTCAGACTTCTGTTATTAACTCACAGCTCCACCAGATGTAGCATTTTCTATGTCCTCCTTCCCAAATGCACCTTTCACGTACATCTGTGCATGGCCACATCCCAACCTACATAAATATTTAGACATGGATCTGATAACTATATACACAAGAAAAGGACAAATATCTCTAGCAACTATAGTGTAGTTTCTTCAAATTAACACATGTTCATGTGCAAATACTAGTAATGTGAGGATTGGCACCAAAAATGAAAGGTGAGAAGGATATATCATTCCTCGGGATGGTATCCAGTACCACACACTATCACAATGAAGACAGAAATGTTATAACTTATGGGCCATTTTTTAATTAAAAATGCTTTTCCCAAGACTGATAAATGATAAAACTTGAGTTATTTTGTTAATATTTTAGATTAAATTTATAGCTACTAAAATCCACATGTTATAAAAGTCATAGAGTTATTACTCCTTCATCTATTAGTAGTTAAATAATAACTACAAGTGATATATTTCTTCTGTGAATGCCAGAACATGTCATGGAATTTTTTCCAAATTACTACTTTAGTGTTTACTTCCTGCTACTTTTTGATGGATTGGTCCTCATAAATTGTAGTTACCTTAAAAGAAATCCAAGCAAACTTAATCATGTCCTACTATTTAGTAACCAATGTTCACAGAAATGCATTAAAATATGAAATGTAGTTTTCACTGAAATACATTCAATACTTTGATCTTTTGGTACTGAATACATAGTGGGATTTATTTTACCATTAATTATATAATTTAAACACAGGCAAATTAAAATTAAATAAAAATGAAAATTCACTTAGTCAGACCTATCACATTTCTAGTGTTCAGAAACCATATGTGGCCAGTGGTTACCATATTAGACTTTGTGACATAGAGCATGTCAATCACTCTGGAAAGTCCTATTGGATAGTGCTAGCATACAGCATATATGTTAGAATTTGAAGGGAAATGGATTGTTAAATGTCCACACAAATGTGGTTAACATATATTCCAGAAAATAAACGTTAAAACTCTCTATAGGGGCTGGGGATTTAGCTCAGCGGCAAAGCACCTGCCTGGCAAGCAGAAGGTCGTGAGTTCGGTTCCCGGTACCTGAGAAAAACCAAAAACAAAACAAAACAAAAACTCTCTATAAATGGCCTGAGGTTGTAGCTCAGGGGTAGAGAGCACACACAAAGGTTCAGTTTCCAACTCTTTCAGCCCCATGAAAAAAGATAGTGTCTATTCCAAAATGAAAAATAAAGTATGACTATGGATAAGGTACTAACTAGCTAGATGTACTACAACAAATTCTTTGCTTATTCAGTTCTAGTTTATTAAATTCCCAGTCCAGCTCAGAGATTATCCATTACTGCTTCCATGTGCTTCAAAACTTTTCATGCTTCCTATCACATATCCAGTCGGTGTGCTGCACTGTGATAATGCTCAGTTATATTGCTTGGTATTCGTTTCAATTGAGGATTGAGCTAGCTCTGTGCAAACATCTAAATCTAGTTCTAAATTATAGTTACACAAAATAGTAACATGTAAATATTACAATCCTTCATTCACATAACAAATAGATTGTAGGTGGATGCAGAGATAAAATATAATTTATTATGGCATCATACATTTTTAGAAAGACCTTATAGAAAATTTAAGTTAATGTTGTCCTAGTAGTGTATATTAATTCAAGGTATTCATTAATTTTCACATTAAATTTTTCCCCTTTTAGTTTATAATTCCTGACTTTTTGATTCTAGCTCCTAGAGAGAAATTTCACTCAATAATCAAAACTCACAGCAACATTCTATGTCCCCTGGCAGGATAGATACTTGTGTAGCAGTGGAGGCATTGTTCCATTTTCTTTTTTTCAGACATCAAAATGAAGACTTTTCCTTCACACTCTTCATCAGAGAGTTCTTTAAAAACATTAGAGGCAGCACGCAGAACTAGTTCATAATATAAAAACCATTAAAGTTGTGTTAGTTTAAGAAGCATGCTATGAAACTGACTAAATAATACAAGAATGCTCATTCATCTGTCACATACCAACCTACCATGGAAGAATTCTAATGCTCGTTATTGCACAAGTAGATGAACACACTCTATGATTATATTAGGAAGATAAGATGAAGCATCTTGGTATCCATTATTAACACCTTTTTAAATTTTGTTTCCACTTTCTTTTTTATCACTTCAGATTTCCTTGACTTCTTCAGCTACTCTTGTAGAGATTCAAAAAATGAAACAAAAGATAAGCAAGATAATTAAAAAGAAGGTATGTCTGTGTGTAAATATGTGTGTGTGTCCATGTGTATGAAAAAAAGATGATTGTGGTATAAATTTTTATGTAATCAATAATATGTACAAGTGTGTAATACCATCTTATCCATAATCAGAAATATGCTATGCCTTAAGGGATGCTGCTTTTAGTAGATTAGATATTATTGCTGTGAAGATACATAGATCATATCTTAAATAAATTCTGGAATTTAGTAGGGTATTAATTAATTAAGACCATGAGTTATTATACAAGGAAAAGTATATGCAGTGCCAGATTTTCAAATAGCAACCCATGCCTATAGCACATAATAATTAGTCATTTGCAGTTTAGAGAAGAGCAACACCCAATATTTGTCACTTTCACCTTGATGAAGGAAACAGGAATTAATTTAGCCTTGACGAATTTCTCAAACACATGGAGGGAGAAGGGAAGGCAGCTGAGGCCCAGAGTTACAAAGAAACTGAGTCAGTGCAGAGCATCTTGGTTTAGAGGAAAGTTCTGGGTGGATCAGAGATCAGACTTTGCATGTGCAATGTAGAGTTCCAAAGAGACAGAAGTTTCTATTGAGGGCTCACGCATGCCTTAGAAAGCATATAAAACCCGTTGAGTGAAATGACAGAATAGACGCATGCCATTTGCCACATTTGCACTAAGGTCTCAGTGAAACAAAAGCCTAGAAGTATAATAAACAATAAGCCCAAAGTCCCAAAGATGGTGATGCAGATGAGAAATTAGCACTAAATAAAGAACGGTTTCACCAGATGTCCTCGTGAGGCAGAGCCCTGTCCAGCTTGCTGTGCTGCCAAGCGGCTGTGGAGGAGGGAAGTCCAGCCTACATGTGAGGTTCCAAGGGGCTCTAGACCTCAGTGGCAGGTACTCTGAGACAGAACTGAGCTGAGAAGAAAGAAATCAATTGAACTGGCCCATACAGACTTCAATCTCTACCTAAAATGGAAAGCAAATAAAAGTGGTTATTACCCAGTGCCAAATCCTAGAAGTTCTTCTCTAAAGAAATTGAAGGGAATGTTTGGGGAAAGGTGATCTTCCTAAGTTGGATATTGACATTCAAAACTAAATCTTCCTTTATTCTAATATTAGAGGGATTTGCATTTGACATCCAACTCCTTATCCACTTAGTGTAAAGGGAATCTTCTAATCAGAGCTACCTGTCTCCCTCAATATACCTAAATCATATCATGTAGTAGGGTAAGAGACTATGTGAAGAAAAGCTCTACTTACAGAACAGGGAATGAAATTCACACTGGCTCCTCCACTTCTGTTTTGAACATGGATTAATCAGTAGTAGTGTGGAATTGCCTGTTAGGATCTCAGCAACACTTCTGCTTTTTTAAATGTACAGATGGGGAGCCTAGAAACAGCACTGCCTAGACTGACAGTGGGAGGCAACTCTACCAGCTGTGGAGGGCAGGAGACAGAAAGCCAGCCTTGCTCCTGTGTTGATGGGGTGGTAGATGGGCTTCATGGGCAGCAGAAATGAGATTTCACTGGCACTTTGCAGTGTACACTGTGTGAGTGGCTTCCTGCTCTGGCTCCTGCACTTGCTGATTTCTTCAAAGCAAGGAACAACCTCCTAGACCTACAAAGCACCATTAGTGTGCCAATTGTGTTGTAACCTTCCAGTGATCTGTGTTCAAGTACTCCTGCAAAGAGATAACCAGAGCTGTTTCTCTTTCCCTGCATGACAGTTGACTCATTCAGCAGATGCAGTAAGAAACTTGACAAAAATAAGTAAAATCATATTTTTAAAAAAAGCAACATGAAAGTGTAGATATGGTGATGTATGCCTGTGATCCCAGAACTTTGGAAGGCTAAGGCAGTGGGCTCACAATTTCAAATACAGCCAGGGTTAGGGTCTTGGTGACACCCTGGCTCAAAATTTTAAAAAAATCAACACAAATGATTAGCGAGCATGCAGGTAAAAAGAAGTAAAATCTAGTAAACAGACAGCAATGGGAAAAATGATATTTAAGTAGAATTACTATCTTTCAACAAGTTTAAAAATATATCAGTAAAACACACAAAAAAGATATTACAAAAAAGAATAAGAGAACAAAAGCTGTCTCAATTTATTAAACATAGTATCTGAAATAACTATCTTTTTTTATTACTATTTTAAAGAGTAAAAGAAGGATAACATAATAAT